CTTTCCAAAATCCATCACTTCTTCTTCTTCTTTTTTAAATCCTGAGACTAACTAACTTTTTCCAGCAGCACTTACCTTTCCTTGTTCTGCCCTGCATTATCCTCAGATGTAGGTAAGGTTCGGCTTTGAAAGCAACACCCCCAGAGCGGAGAGAGTTATATCAGTGTGCAGAATTATTCCTCCACCCTCTCTCTCTCCTCTCTCTCTCTCTGTCTATCTGTCTCTCTCTCACACACAGACACAGACACACACACACACACACACATATACACAGGCTTCCCCGGGTTGCTCCTCCGCCTCGCTTAAGCACCCAGGCTGCCTCGCCTCCTGCTTCTGAGAGCCTCCTGCCTCCCGGAGCCCTGCATTCAGCTGGTGCCGGGGGTTTGGCTCACCGATATAAGGCAGGGCCTCGGCAGCCGAGGCTGCTCCGCTCTGGCAGGCTAACCTATGAGAGGAGAGAGACCCGTGTCTTCTTCGCTGCCTTCTGAGGAAAGCGGGGGGTGGGGGTGGGTGGGGGCAGAGGAAGAAATTATAATCAGGAGTGTTTAGGGTGAGAGGACGCTCCCTCAGGGGGGGTGGGCAGCAAAATCAAGGCAATGCCTGCGTGCTGCCTCTGGTTTTTAACACGCGCGCTGTTGGCCGAGCAGGGGACATTTTGACAGCCATGGGGATCCAAGAGGCACCAGTTTCTCCCACGGAGTGATTCTGTTGACCTCTCTGAAATGCAGAGGTTTGGGGGGAAAAATCCCAGCTCCCAGCCCTTTCCTGCCAGCTTGGCCATGGGGATTAGAGAGTGTTACAGCCCCCCCCCCCCAAGTACCTTTTCTGAGCCTTGTGGTGCAGCCCTTATAGATCGGTCATGGAAATTACATGGGAACAGATTGATTGGGTTCTTGGCTAGGGTTCAATGCTCCTGACTCTCCCCAAATTCCAGACTTCTGTTCCCCCCCCCCAGCCTAACCCCCTCCAATGTGCTGAACACAACAACCCCCCCATAGCCAGCAAGTGTGTCCTTGAGGGATGAGGATGATGGGACCTGTAGTTCCATGTACTCAGAGCACAGCAGGTGGGGGGGGAGGGACCTTACGGTAGTCGTAGAGATTTCACAAAACAGACACCCTCTGCACTGGGCAACATCCCAGCAAGACATGCAGTATTTCCTACCACCTCCTCTCATCCTCCCTATAGCTTATCTGTGCCCTGCAGTCATAGCTGTTTGAAACCCCTCGAGTTGCCCTGATTTCATGCCCATGGAATCCTGGACTTCAGAGTCTGGGATGGGATGTATGAGAGGTCTTTCCTAGAAAGCTCTTGTGGGCTCCCAATCCCTCAACATCCTCTCTGTGACCCCTGGGGTTTAGGATGTGAATCTCGTCCCCTTCTCCAGCCTCCAGTTTTCTTTTTTTTTAAATCTCAGGCTTCCCTGTCCATCTAAATCAGACTCCTTGCTTGGGAAGGACGTGTCCAAAACTGCTGGGGAATCCCTGATGTCTCAACAATATGCAACAAGACAATGCGGTTTCTCACATCATTAGAAGCAGGAATTCCTTAAGTGCTGAAAGAAGCCCAAGTGGCTTCCAAAGATCTGCCTTACCGAGCTGGACCCTTACGCTCCCCTTCCTCGGCTTCTTTGGCCTCCCATCGGGAGCCCCACCCAGCAAGAACAAGGGCAGTCCGTCCTGCTGCTGTCCATGGGGGCCGGTGCTGAAACCAAGCAAGTAACCACCAGCCGCCTTCTCAAATGTCCACGAGGTTCATAGAGGGTGTTTTTGGCTGCCCTTTGCAAACCACATTTCTCAACCTTGGAAATATAACTTTCTGGCATTGCAGGTCATGGATTGCTGTTACCACTGCAATTTTTTTTAAGGTAACATTTCCAAGCTCATGCTTTTACACACCTAGGAGGGGCAACCCATACTTTTCAGTTCTCTTCCCCCCCCCCCCGGCACACCTTGTATCGGCCTTGAAACTGCACTTTCGCTTGTGAGTTCATCACAGCCTCTTCATTTCTGAGTCGTGACAGAGGTAGGGGCCGACACGGAGCCGGAGCCCAGGGAGGCTGATTTTGCCCAGGCAAAGAGGAAGCTGTTATAGGGCTTCCCACTGACATTAGAAAAGAGCCGACCTCCTTCTCGGCCACTTTGATCCCATCATTCTTATAAAAGCCTTGGAAAAATATGCCTGAAATACGAGCGAGCTGGACGACGCCACTGGCGCTCCTGTATGCCCACAGCTCTTGCCTCCTTTGGGGTGAAAACAGGTGGGCGGTGTGCTGGCCAGGGGCCCTTTCCATCTGAAGCCTTCCCTGGGTGGCAACCGGCAGGGCACTGATTGAGGCCTGGCCCGAACCCGAGGCCAACGCAGCTACTGCGACCAATTTGCCAACAATTCATTCCAACCCAGCAGGGGCTCTTCCGCTCTTCGTGGTGGGCAAAAGAAGGAAAAATAAACCCATCACCAGCAACAGGAAGAGGCTCACCAAGATGCTGGAGATCCCTCCCCTCCCCTCCCCCAGGAAAATAAGGAGGAAAAAACAAATACCAGAACCCAGAGAGAGAAAATATTTTTATTAGAGCCAAGAACAGTTCCAGAAGAGTCTGAAAGCTTTCAAATTCTCTAGGTGAGAAAAAATGAGGTGGAGAGGGAAGAAAACCAGCGGCAGCCACACAGAATTCCAGAAAGTTGGGCCCAATGGCTTAAGCTGCAAGGCCTGCCATTCAACTCAGTTCCCAGGTAAGGAAGGCGGGTTCAGGGATTCACCGATAGGCAGGCAAGGAGCAAACGACTCCCGTTTTAATATAAGGCTTGTTTGATTCCTTTTTAATATGTGTATACTAACTGTTTTTAGCCTTTAAATACTGTTTTAATAATAATTTTGGGGGAGAAAGGTGGGATAGATAGATAGATAGACAGACAGAGAGACAGAGAGAGAGATAGACAGACAGACAGACAGACAGACAGACAGACAGACTGTTCCTCCTGGGATGGAAGGAGAATGTTGGCTCACCATTCCTGAGGCCATGAAGCTGGTGGCACCTCAGAGGTCTGCCTTCAGCAAAACACCCAAACTGGTAGGGCAGCCTTGAATCATCCTGCCCAGGCTTATACCTCCATCAATCTGTCAAATCCCCCCTTTAAAGCCATTGGATTTAATAGTCCTCCCTAGATCTGGTGGCAATGAGTTCCATAGCCTTAAAAAGTGCTTATATGAAGATATCCTCTTTTTAAAAAAAACACTACCCACCATTAGACAATTTCATTAGATGGCCCTGTATTTTAACATGATACGAATGGCAGAAGATTTTTATCACCAGTCACGTTAGACACCTTGTGTCCGGGGTTTAGAAAAGTTAGTTCGTTGAACCACGACTCCCAGAATCCCACTGGCCATTTCTCTCCTAGGGCAAAACAAAAACCCACAACTTTTCAAAGTTGTTTTTTCTCCTCGATTATTTATCTGATGATAATTTACCAGAGCAATATTAGTCCCATGCACGTCTGTAGATTAATTAATAAGCAAACAAGGCTTATTTCCATTGCTCCGTCCCTCAGCGCAGAGACTCAAGAGCTTCAGGGCAAGAAAGTCCTTAACTCAAGACCTGGTGACACCCAGAGCAATTTCTTCTCGGGTCTCACCCCCGCTTCTTCTTTTTAAGTGCCTGCATGGACCTGAGCTCTCTTTGGCGCACAGCTCACTCACGACAAACGCCTCGCCGTGTCTCCCAGCCCTTCTGCCTCATTTCACGCTAATCAAGTGGTCACAATGGGAATGCCGGCTCAAACCTAGCCACATATATTTACTCTTTCCTTTTCATGCAAATGCTCATTTCAGCTTCTCCTCATGAATCAAGGATAGTTCTCAACAGGCCAACTTTGATTGGTAATGGGGGGGGGGTGTTTGCTCAATCGGAGGAGTCTAATGCCCTCTACTAATTTGTTCATCCCAGCATGCTCGCAGAAGAAAAAAAGCCTGAGGCCAAGGCAGCTCCCATAGAAGGGGTACTTTTTATTCTGGATTAATAAATCCATAGTAAACGTACACTACCAATATATGTGGGTATATCTGCTCTGGGAGAATGACCCTAGCACCCTATTTTCTTTCTTCCTGACACCTCCTCTCTTCCCCTTTTCTCATTTTCCCATCAATTCCAGTTCTCTCAAAGTGGGGGCCGCTCCCCTTCTTTCCTCAATGTATAAATGAACAACTTCCCCTTTTCCGTCCATTCCTGCTTTCCTCCTCCTGAGCTTCCACCCACCTGAAACGAGGCAGAAAGACCCCAGGGGACCCATCTGTGAATCAAAAGCATGGGGCCACATTTCTATGGAGATTTTCAGATTATAATTTCTTTCTCTGGCTGCCTGGTTTTATACATATTGGACTCGAGGCCTGGAAATGTATAGTCTAAAAACTTCAACTTTTCCAGGCTTCAATTAGTCTTCCTCTGTAGCAAGGATGAGATTAAGTCGTGTGTTAGTCCAGAACCAAGGCTGGGCTCTGTATCAACTTTGATGAACAATGTCAAATCCTTGGGGGGTGGGGACAACATCCACACCTCAGCTACTGGAAATAGCCTCTAGTTATCTCCCCCCCCCCATTTGTTCTAATATGATAAAGAATTCTGTACTTGTTCATACACAGTAACAAACATGTGTAAATCAGTATAAGGTTTTTGTGAGTGGGTCAGAGGCTGTCACTTGTCAGGTATCCATGCTTGTCTCTGCAATCCATTTGAAGGCCCGCCTATGGACCAAGCCAGCTTCTCGTTATTGCTGTGTTTGATCTCCCTCTTGTGTTCAGTCCGAGGGCAACAGCTGATGACAAGGGACTGGCCAGAATCCTGCTACCGATTTATATGCTTTGCATGAGGGAAACCACAAAGGCCTCTGTGGCACATTGTGGCTCATGACTCCAACAGCTGCCAGGCATGCAATGGGTCACACAACTGGCAGAATGGTCAGGAACACAAGCAGCAATTGACACCAGCCACCACTGGCCACCTCAGCTTTCTTTCTTTGATTTCCCCCCTTACACACAAACCTTTTAAAATCTTTCCTCTTGTCTCCCCGTTTTCACTCAGAAATGCACAGAATCCTCTATTTGTACACAGTGGACGTTGGGAGCGGTTTAGCTGTGACCAAAGCTTCTGGGTCTTTAGGGTGCCCATGTGTCCGGCTCTAGAGCGGACGTTCTCCCTCTGAAGGGCTGCCTGGTGTTCCGATCTGGATTTTTTAGGAGAGGAGCACAACTATAAACCAGGGAGAGCTCCCTCCATCACCCAGAGGGAGCAGGCGCCACAAGACACCTGCTTGCCCTCTTCAGGTGAAAGCCATTCCAAATTCTGCCTCTCTCCGTGCGAGCCCTTCCCCTCCTACCACACACCGAGCAGGATGACGGCCCCAGTCGCCCTGGATGGATTGCAGCCGCTCTAAGCGAGGAGTTGCAGCAGCAAGAGCATCTGCATCCAAAGCATGTCTCCCGGGTGGTTTTAGCCAAGAGGTCCTCCTTCCTTCCTTCCTTCCTTCCTTCCTTCCTTCCTTCCTTCCTTCCTGTCTTTCTTTCTTTCCTTCCTTTCCTACCTGCCTTCCTTTCCTTCCTTCCTTCCTTCCTCTTTCTTTCTTTCCTTCCTTCCCTACCTGCCTTCCTTTCCTTCCTTCCTTCCTCCCACCTATCATCAGCTCCTTCCTTCCTTCTCTCCTTCCTTCCTTCCTTCCTTCCTTTCTTTCCTTCCTTCCTACCTGCCTTCCTTCCTTCCTCTTTCTTTCTCTTTCCTTCCTTCCTACCTGCCTGCCTTCCTTCCTTCCTTCCTTCCTTCCTGCCTTCCTTTCCTTCCTTCCTTCCTTCCTCCACCTGAAGCACCAGGAAGGATCCGCGTGTGTTGCTTCTTTCTCCTCACGGGACCCTTCCCACCCCCACCCCCCTTTTTTGCATTTCAGGGGGAGTCTTGGCTGCTTGATCTTTTTTTATTATTACGTATTTTTATTGTTTGCATTGTCTTCCCTGCTTCTCTGCCGGCCGGGCTCTCCACCCGAGAGACTCCGTTCCCCTTGCCAAGGGCCCGAGGCAGTTCTAGGCGACACGAGGGTCTCCCGGATTTGGGGAGGGTGTTTTTTGCGGGGGGGTTCTCCCCTTGGGTCACGTGGCCACATGCACCTGCCCCAGGTGGGAAAGAAGGGGCGGGGGAGGTGAGGAGGCTCAAGGGGGCCCTCTGCACTCGCTCAGAGTCCCTTCGGCTGCCCATCACCTTGGGCGCCCTCCAGAATGTTCGACTACACCACCCATCATCCACGCCCCAGGGTCCTGCTGCCAGAGGACGACGGGCCCGCTCGTGACGCCCACGGGCTGGGAAAGTCTTCCGGAGTTGGGAGGCCCCCACACACACACACTGCGCGTGCGCCATCCTCGCTCCGCCCTCCGCCTCCTATGATTGGCTTCAACTGAGACAGATTCATCCCCCTCCCGCCTTCCTTTCTCTTTCCCCGCAGCTCGGCCACGCCCTCTTTGCCCCCC